CATTTGTTGCCATCATCATTCTCAAAACATTTTCTTTCTACTTGAGCCCTTGGTATCAGCTCATTTTTCCCCTCCCTCCCTCACCCTTCCTCTTTCTTAGTGGTAGTCAAGTCTCTTTGTCTCTGCTTGCTTCTCTCTCCCTTTATCTCTCTGGAGATGCAAGCCCCTTGCATCACATCAGGGCTGTGGCCTGAATAAGTGTTCTTCATCCCACCATAATTTCTCTTACAACTGATAGACGAGTCACATCCAGTCCCACCATGGAATATGATTACATCATTACACAACTTCCAAGCTACCGAGAATTATGGCCCAGACCCCTCGATGGATACTTTTTTATTGTTAGCTACCATCCAACCAGCTCCAACTTGTCACACCTTATGCACAACTAGATTGGGCCATTGTGATCCCTAAGGTCTTCGTTGGCTAATTTTAGGACTTTATCCTTGTCCATCAGTTCCACAGACACTTGTTCGCCCTCATAGTCATACACAATCCTACAGTGAGAACAGTGGCTGCTAAGGTGCTTTCATTGGGAACTAAGACTGGGCCTCCCGCATGGAAAGTGAGAATTGTCCTACTGAGTCACCACTGCCCTCTTTGGATATATACACACTCCTGTGGAAAATGTGTAATAAGAATAGGAGCATGAGAGATATGCAGAAACGTCAAGATAGAGACGTGAGTGAGAAGGGAAGGAAATGAAATCGGACAGGGACAGAAAGGGACTTTCACGTCTGTAACATTTTATTTCTCTCATTCATTTGTGCACTCCCCTGTACACACATGTGCACACACACAAAGATCTGAAGCAAGGAGGGAAAATGTTAGCATTGATTATGTAGGGGTTGAAAATACATTACATATTTACACGAATCTCAAATCTTTTTCTTTCCACTTGAACAATTTCAACTGTTGATAATGAAAAGTAATAATCTGGGTAAAAATGGCAATCATAATTCTAAAGTTTCTACTCCTAAACTTTATTATTTCTTCTAGTTAATTTTAAAATTCAAAATGCCAACGTCACCAATTTTGCTAGTGTTTTTTAATGTGGGTCTTATTTCAGAGGAAGTGTTTGGGTATGGGAGCTTTAAGGAATGCACTTTTTTCTTCCAGAAATAATTTTAATGGCCAATACACCAGTGCTAATAGGAATTATCTCGGTAAATCTCCAAGTAGTCCTTTTAAGCGATGCATTTTTTACTCAGCCAAGAATAAAAAGTGTCCTCATGCCTTCCTGGAATTTCTGCTAAGCCAACCATGTTCAATGTCCTTGGGTCCTTCGACTGAAAGCACGGGAAGCACCTACTTTATTTAGGGTATTTTGCTTTGTACGCTTAGACTTCTTCAGCAGAACAGCAAGGCAACTACTCATTCCCTTGAATCTATGTAGTAAATTACAATTTGCATATTGTATTGATTGCATGCACAATCAGCACCATGAACCCAAAATTTCGGTTCTGCACATTAGGATGTGGTTGATGTGGACTGGATTTGGCAAATCCAATTCTCTGTTCATTGTGAAAATTAACTGGGACCATGGCTTCATTATATTTTTGACGTTGTGATTTTAGCTTTCAGGTTAAATATGCCATTAACTTTTTTATGTCCTGTGTGTATTATGTGTAAGGTGTTCACCAATTAAATTTTGTCACAGGTTGACTCCACTCAAACTAGAAAACAATTTTCATTATCTGAATTCGAGTGTTTATGGTAGATATATTACAAGTACCCCAATTTCAATTTAATATTGATGTATGTTCAGCGTAAGCATGAAATGTATTCATACATTCTGTATTACTTATTGACCACCCACCATGTCAGGGAAAATGATGACCAAGACAACATCAGCCTCTTCAAATTGTTCATCCTCTCATGAGTATAGTTATAAAAACAGGCAATCACAAGAAAGAACATACTGTAGGCAAACATTCAGGTCATTTCTATGCCACGAAGAGTCTCCAATACTCTATGACTATAGTTCTTGGAATTCCAACTCAGGACATCCTGAGAGTGGCCTTGGAAACTCAGCATCTTGAGTCCTAGATTTGATCCTCAGCTCAATGCCCAAGCCCAACACAAAACCAAGTCAATTAGCATTTCTGGAGACTGGACCTAGCCATTGGAACCAAAAGGCAAACAATGAGCACAACACCTCTAGGTGATGTGAGTAAGCAGCCTATGGAGAATCATTAACTTACCAGATAATTTGAGGCAGGTGTGCTGACTTAGCAACCATTCAGGTAAGTAAAAGAAAAAGTTTACAGTTTGTCTGCCAAGAGCTTAATCCATTTCTTCTTCATTTACACAGGAGAAGAAAATCTCCTAGCAATTTTACGAAGAAGATGGTGGAAATATATGATCCTGGGACTCATAGACCTGGAGGCAAATTATCTGGTGGTCAAAGCTTACCAGTACACTACCCTGACAAGTATCCAGGTACCAGTGTTTCTTCTTTTCTTCCAACTGTCTCATTTCCAGATTGAGGTTACTTTCCATTCAAACTCCTAGGAGATCCAGATATCGATAACCTGTGAATATTGCTTATGTATTAATATTTTAAAATTCAGGTGTACTTGTATAACGTTTTCTTCTTTGTTATGAATACATACCAGTAATTAATTGATAATGTCAGAAAATACTTTGTGGTTTTGAGTGCTGTCAACTAATCCTATGTCAGAGGACAATTATTAATAAGCATAAAAATAAATCTGTTTTAATCACAACTGATAACTTTTTAGAATATGTTAATGGACCTTGATTAAATAATGAAAGGGCATCATAATCTTTTATCTTAACTTTCTTTAATGTTTTGATTTTGCAACCTGGACAAAGAGCATTTTTCCTACAGAGACAAAGATTAAATTCCTAAAATGTCTTGTGCATAAAAATTGGCACTGTGTTTCTCTCTCTGTCGCTCCTTCTTCGTCTCCTTTTTCCCTTTCCCTCTTCCTCCTTCTCTTCACAGATGAAGATATGCATGCACACAACACACACACATATCCACAATTGCCAGGTTTAAATTAGTTTTTCACAATTTTTGTTGTCCTCAGTCCATGGTAAATTATAGGCATGACTATTTTTGTTTCAACCTCATTTATTTGTACATGACAATATTATGAGTTTTATAACCACTTCAGAGCTTCAAGAGGAAAACAAAACAGTGTTCGTGTATTAGATGTAGCTCATATTTGGTACTTCAACCACCTTCATGCCACCCTGTTAACTTGCTTAGAAGCAACCATACAAAAAAATGGAGAATCAAGGAAGCAAACAAAGGCCCTGAATCAAATTAGATATATAACTTTAGATGGGAAAAGATCAAAACCTGATTTAGATTTCCCACCATCTGATTTCCAAAATGAACTTCAAAGACATCTTGAAATACATGTGATCAGAGGAGCATATTGGCAGGACCCGTTCTTTGAAAATTTCATACGCTGAGAGCCTCTGTGGGGCCAGGTCCCTCCCTGGTGGTGTTGGCCACTGAAACAGGAAGAGAACTTACCTTCAAAATGCTGATCAACAACCAAGGCAGTAGCTGGGCTCACGATGGGAATACAGAAGTAAAGAGGTCTGCCTTTTGGTGCTAGTCTGTATGTGTCATTTTCCTGTTCCCTTTTGGAAACCTTGTTTTCTTCGACTCGAAAAGGCCTGCTCTCTGTTTTGTGCCCTTGAGTTGTGGTGTTGGCAACGAAAACTGAATATGTCATGTATTGCTAAAAGAATATCCAAATCCATCTTAGAAGAAATACAAGCAAAATTCTTTGTTGGATCTATTATTAATTGGGTGTTAATACATATGTCATATCATTCTATAGTTTAATCACGTCAAGAAGAATTGTACACTTGCTATCATATCAGTTTCCAAACATTCTTTTTCTCCCTGGACTCAGTGACATCGTCTTCTTTTGGCCCTTCTGCCCCATGATATACTCCCCCTTGCCCAAAATCCTTATTCTACTTGCTGTCCCTATAGGCTCATCAGTCCTGGGTTTCATCTACTGAAAAACAGGAAAACATATAACACAACTTCATGAGGGTGACCTCCGATGACATAACACCTCTGAAATGCACCCTAATATGAACAAACAAAACAAAAATACAGAAAATGTTGAAAACCAGATAAGGTCTAGCATGCATCAGAAGTACACCATCACCAGTCAAACTGACAAAGTTTGAACTGTCCAAGTCAGATTTATGCCTTGGATCTTCTATACTCCTCTCTCCAATGTACTCTGTTCAATAACCACTTTCCACCCTTCCCTCAATTGTGGATAGAGGGAGCGCACCAGAGGCTTATTGCCTAGGTAGTTCCCTCAAATGAATGTTGGGCTTCTACTGTCATCCACCGCCTTCTGCACACTGGATTCTCAAATTTAGGCTCTGATACTAATCCCTCCTTTGACTTTGGATTAAAAGATTTATAATCCTTCAGTGACTGGTGATGGTGTGCTTCTTCCACGTGGACTTAGTTGACATCTCACTTAGATGGCTGCTTATTTGGAGACAAGCCTTTAAGACCCCAGACACTATTTTATCTGACAACCAGACACCATCTAATTACTTTGTCACATTTTGTTATAGCACCTTTTATCTTCTTTGTTCACCTGAGGGTGAGTATCAAGCAGGGCCATGATGTAAGAACTAATTGTTCTTAAGTTGGAGGTAGGATTTAGTATGAGCCCAAAACCCATTCCTGGATCTATGTTTTTATTTATTTACTTATTTATTATTAATTAGTAGTTAATATATATCATATCATTCCATAGTTCAATCAAGTCAAGCAGAATTGTCCAGTTGCTTCCACAATCAGTTTCCAAACATACTTTTACTACCTGGACTCCTTGACATTGTCTCCCTTTTACCAAACACTACCCCTGAACCCCCATCCCCTCCTAAACCCTTATTCTAATTGCTGTCACAATAGGTCCATCAATTCTGAATTTCGTATACCAAAAACCAGAAAAAACATACAGCACAATTTCAGAAACATACAACCCAATGACATAAAACCTCGGAGATACAACCTAATACGAACAAACAAAATAAAACAATGTCCATCACAGGTTTCACAGAATAATGCATATTTTACTGCAGCATAAAGGGCATTGATGTAGCAAGACATGTTTGTCTGCCTACCAACCATTCAACAGTTTTGGTACAGCTGCCTCCCACTTCCTCAGACTCCAAGTATTTTCTGACTAAGTCCTCAGGTTACCTGTGTGTCTGAGCTAGAGTGCAGTTCACTCAGAACTCTTAGATGCAGGATCACAACCTCAGTTCACTCGCTTTGGGTGTATCTTCAGGAAAAGCCAATCAGTATAAAATGACATCATGTTTGGTAGACCGGAGGGTCCGCTCAAACAAGAAAGCCCTTCAATGAGATGGAGTAACTCAAAAGCCAAAAGAG